ATAATAATCTCACAAAACACTAATAATAATAATCTCTCCAACAAAAACCACCCTAATAATAATAATCTCTCTAACACACAACAAAACCACCTATAATAATAATAATCTCTCTCAACACACAAAAACACAACTAATAATAATAATCTCTCTCAACACAAAAACACTAATAATAATCTCTCTCACAAAAAAACAACTAATAATAATATCTCTCAACACAAAACAACATAATAATAATAATCTCTCTCAAAAAAAACAACTAATAATAATATCTCTCACAAAAACCCAACCATAATAATAATAATCTCTCTCAAACACAAAACACACATAATAACTTACAAATAAAACTACTAATTCTTCTCACAAAAAAAAACTAATAATAATAATCTCTCTCACACACAAAAACACATAATAATAATAATCTCTCTCACAAAAAAACACAACTAATAATAATAATCTCTCTCAAACAAAAAACACACTAATAATAATAATCTCTCTAACAACAAAAACCACATAATAATAATATCTCTCACAAAAAAACAACTATAATAATAAATCTCTCTCACACAAAAAAACACTAATAATAATAATCTCTCTACAACACAAAACACACATAATAATAATAATCTCTCTCACAACAAAAACACACTATAATAATATAATCTCTCTCACACAAAAACACACACCTAATAATAATAATCTCTTCTCACAAAAAACCACCAATAATAATAATAATCTCTCTCAAAACAAAACCACAATAATAATAATAATCTCTCTCACAAAAAACAACACAATAATAATAATCTCTCTCAACACAAAACCATACACTAATAATAATAATCTCTCTCAACACAACAACTAATAATAATAAAACCACTCTAATAATAATAATCTCTCTTAATAATAATAATCTCTCTCTAATAATAATAATCTCTCTCACAAAAAAACATATATAAAAACTAACAAAACACACTAATAATAATAATCTCTCTCTATAATATAATATTCTCTCACAAAACAAAACACACACTAATAATAATAATCTCTCTCACAACAAAAACAAATAATAATAATAATCTCTCTAACAACAAAACACACACTAATAATAATAATCTTCTCACAAAAAAACAACACTAATAATAATAATCACAAAAAACAAATAATAATAATAATCTCTCTCAACAACAAAACAACATAATAATTAATAATCTCTTCAACAACAAAAACAATAATAATAATAATATCTCTCTCAACAAAAAACACACATAATAATAATAATCTCTCTCACAAAAAAACAACATAATAATAATAATCTCTCTCAAAACAAAACCACAATAATCTACTCTCTAAACAAAAACTAATAATAATAATCTCTCTACACAAAAAACACACACTAATAATAATAATCTCTCTCAACACAAAAACCAACCTAATAATATAATCTATCTCAAACACACAAATAAACCTCACCACAACTAATAATAATAATCTTTCACACACAAAAACACCAACATAATAATAATAATATCTCTCACACAACAAAACCAACCACTAATAATAATAATCATCTCTAACAAACAAAACACACACCTAATAATAATAATCTCTCTCAACACAAAACACCACCACCTAATAATAAATAATCTCTCTCACAACAAAAACACAACACTAATAATAATAATCTCTCTCAACACACAAAAACCCAACACACTAATAATAATAATCTCTCTACACACAAAAAACACACACTAATAATAATAATCTCTTCTCAACACAAAAACAACACACTAATAATAATATCTATCATCACCAAACCCAAAACACCACCACCTAATAATAATAATCTCTCTCAAAACAAAACACCACACTAATAATAATAATATCTCTCTAACAAACCACACTAATAATAATCTCTTCCACACACAAAACCACACTAATAATAATAATCTCTCTCACACACACAAAAACACCACACTAATAATAATAATATCTCTCACAAACAAAACCACCTAATAATAATAATAAATCTCTCACACACCAAAACCACACACTAATAATAATAATCTCTCTACAAACAAAAACCAACCACTAATAATAATAATCTATCTCACACACCAAAACACCACCCCTAATAATAATAATATCTCTCACACAAAAAACCACACCAATAATAATAATAATCTACTCACACAAAAAAACCAAAATACTAATCTCACACACCATAATAATAATCAAACACACAATACAACACACCTAAAATAATCAATAATAAAACTCACTACAACCACACACAACTATAAAAAATCTCACCAAAAAACACACCACTAATAATAATAATCTAATCTCTCTCAAAAACACACAAAAAATCTCTCTCAACACCACCCTCACACAACAAAACACCACCACTAATAATAATAATCTCTCTCACACAAAAAACCCACCATAATAATATAATCTCTCTACAACACCAAAACCACCACTAATAATAATAATCTCTCTCACAACAAAAAACCAACCTAATAATAATAAATCTCTCTAACACAAAAACACCACCATAATAATAATAATCTATCTCAACACACAAAAACCACACTAATAAATAATAATATCTCTCAACCAACAAAAACCACACTAATAATAATAATCTCTATCAACACACAAAACCACCACACTAATAATAATATCTCTCTCAAACAACAAAACCACCCACCTAATAATAATAATAATCTCTCACAAAAAAACACACACTAATAATAATAATCTCTCTCACAACAAAACACACAACTAATAATAATAATCTCTTACCACACAAAAAACACACTAATAATAATAATCTCTCTCACCACACAAAAAACCCCACACTAATAATAATAATCTCTACTCAACACTACAAAAACCACACCACTAATAATAATAATCTCTCTCACAACACAAAAACACCACTAATAATAATAATTCTATATCTCACAACACAAACCAACCTAATAATAATAATCTCTCTCCAAACACAAACACCACCACTAATAATAATAATATCTCTCACACAACACAAAAACACCCCCAATAATAATAAATAACTCAAAAAACCACTCAAACATCTCAAAAACCACCACCAACTAATAATAAATAATCTCTCTCCACACCAAAATACCAACCTAATAATAATAATCTCTCTCACAAAACAAAACCACACCACTAATAATAATAATCTATCTCTCACACAAAAAAACACCTCCACTAATAATAATAATCTCTCTCACAACACACCACCAAAACCACCACAACTAATAATAATAATCTATCTCAAACACAAAACCACCACCTAATAATAAATCTCTCTCAACAACAAAACCCCAACTAATAATAATAATCTCTCTCACCACAAAAACACCACATAATAATAATATCTCTCAAACAAAAACAACCACTAATAATAATAATCTCTCTCACACACAAACACACACCTAATAATAATAATCTCTCTCACACACAAAAACACACCCATAATAATAATAATCTCTCTCACACACACACCACCACATAATAATAATAATATCTCTCACACAACAAAACAACACATCTCTCTCACAACAAAAACCACCACTAATAATAATAATCTCTCTCAAACACAAAACCACCACCACTAATAATAATAATCTCTCTCACAACACAAAAACACCACCTAATAATAATAAAATCTCTCTCACAACAAAACCACACTAATAATAATAATCACACACAAAAAACACCACTAATAATAATAATCTCTCTACACACACAAAACACCACACTAATAAT